CACACACACACACACACACACACACACACACACACACACACACACACACACGGCCCCCAGTCCACACCCCTGCGGCAAAAACGCCTCCTGTGCGAACGTGTCGAACGCGTTTAGCCGCGTTCAATGAACGCGCGTTCACCGCGTTCAAAACATGAACACGAACTGCGCAGCAATACAGATAGCATCAGTTCTACGACTACAATTACTAGGAGTCGTGGTAGGTAGGTAGTGTGAGGAGAAATTGTGAAAACAATGTAGCTTACTTTAAAAACATATAAAAAATATTGTCCTATTGAGGCGAGGCGGTGCAGCCTCCTGGCTGCAAACTGCAGCATCTCCAATAACAGGCTCATCACATAATGAATGGATAGTTTATCCTTTTCTTTCAAATAATTTCGTATTTGTGATTCGTTTTATGGCAAATTTATGCACTGTTCCAGTCACCAGAGGAAGAGAGTGAGGGCCAGATCCCACTGCCAAAGAGGATTGGAATAAGTGTCTGAATCTGGGCGTGTTACAGTCAAAGATGCAGAAAATAAGATCACTCACAATCTTTTGCACCTCTCCACAAACACGTCAGGAATCCAGATTCAGACACTTATTCCAATCTTCTTTGCCAGTGGGATCTCGCCCTGAGTGGAACCGTGCCTATGAAGAACGGCTGCATACAACTTGACTTCGTTCTTAGTACCTCAGACAAACAGGGGCCATGTCCCACTGGTACTGCGCACCGGAAGCACAGCCACTCGGGATAGAGAGTGGGTCCTTAGTGCAGAAGCTCAATCTTTGTTCTTCTTGACAAACTGTCTTTTTTTTCTTTTGGTGAGCCTGCCTTGTCAGTGCATACGCCCAGCGGTGGGGTTTTGCTCCTGCATTCACCAAATGCGGTGTGCCCCTCTCAGCCCTGTGTGTTCATTTTCACAAAATCCAACGCCTCACAAAGGATTCTCTCTCTCTGCTTTTGAAAAGAAAAAGGATCCAATCTGGGGCACATATAGGGTCTCGCTCCACTACTGTCCACTGTACAATTTTTCGGACAGTTGGTGGACAGTTGTCAGAGCGAAAAATTGTACAGCGGACACTGTCAGTGGAAAATGCGACATCTCTCCACTTACTGTCCGCTGTCCACCTCTCAAATTGGTGGCTTCACTACCAGACACAGCGATAGCACTACAAGACAGGACGTCCATAGGGTTTTGTCCACCCAAACTCCAGGTGCACTCTCCAAATTCGGGTCTTCACGGTGAGTCCCTTGAAGGACTTTCCACGTAACGAATTTTGCAGGCTGGGAGCTGTACATTCACGGACAGTAGATTTTCGACGGGGTTTCTGAAAACTGTCCAAGCCATTTTGCACATGTACAGTGGACAGTAAGTGGAGCGAAGTACGACTGTCCGTTTTTGTACAGTGGACAGTAGTGGAGCGAGACCCATATACTCATGGCTTCTCAAAAATCGTTGAATGCATGTGCCGCAGACCAGGCAATTTGATTTTCAAAGGTGGTGAAGCTTTCAGGCTTTGGCCTTCTGTCGCAATGTGCAAGGGGCATTTCTTTTTTTTTTTTTCCTGTTTAGTTGAACCCATGTTTTTTTTTTCTGCTTAGAGGTCGTTGACATTTCCTAAAAAGGCCGCACCACTAAGGACAAAATGCAACAGGGTAAGACGCAGCCACCTGGCTGCGAACTAGCGGGGGTTTAGTTTATGGGCCTGGCTGCACTACTCTGGACATGCACAAAAGACAAAAAACATGGCAGTGTATCTCGCCATGTTTCCAACAAAGATTCACTCTCGTTTTGCACATTTCGAGAGTCGTGCAGCGAGGCTGTATGTTTCGTGTATAATTTTTCATCGTGTGGCCGTGGAATTTTCAGATCGGATGGCAGGGAGCTCTGCATACTTGAAACCAGAACTAAACCTTGACAAGTGGGGCATAGGGCCTCTCTGCACTACTCTCCACATGCACAAAAGACGAAAATCATGGCCGTGTATCTTTCCATATTCAAGCGGAAGATTCATTCTCGTTTTGCACATTTCGAGAGTAGTGCAGCGAGGCCCATAGCCTCAGGAGAGATTGCTGGGAAAAAAAGAAAAGCGGTGCAGTTCTCTTATCTCCTCCTGACTCTACAGACAGGATCAATTGCTGCTAAAAAAAAAAAAAAAAGGTGAAAAAGTGAAACTCTGGCTACCTCCTAAGAGCTGGACCCCACAGGGGAAAATCTCGGAAGAACTCATCCGCCGGGTGTTCTCTCGGACCCCACAGCCTCTGGAAAAGTGTCTGGAAGTCCTTTTTTTCGTATTTCCCAGACCCCACCGCCCGGAAAAGTGTCGCCTGGAAAAGCGACGAGTGAGTTTCCAAGTCCTTTTCCGGGCAGAAAACGGCCGATCCCGAAATTTTGTGGCAAACACAAGGGGTAGGGGGGGGCATCCCCCTACGTCTTCCAGACTTGGAAGATCGCGCAGGTCCATTATGTGTCCGCACGGTGCTACCCATCCGAAGGTCGGACGGACGGACAAAGCCGCTGTCACACGATCGGGGCGGGCCAGCCAGCAGGTCCACCACGGCCTACCCGGGCTTCGATGGCGGACAAAACCGCCGAAATGGTCCGAAAGTCTGGAAGAACTCTTCCAAAAGCCTGGAAAAGAGGCACTTCGGTGGGGTCCCGTTTTTTCGTTTCCAAAACCTTCCAAGACTTCCGCATCGGGGTCCACCTCTAAGGCAGTGACACATGCCGTGGACGAGATCTGTCAGGACCTGTTTTTTTTTTTTTTGTTGTTGTTGTTGTTTTTTTCTCTTCTTCTAACTGCTCAGGTCTATTGGTGGGGAGCCCCACCTGCTGGAAACCGTGTCAAGAGTCCCATTATACATCCAGAGTGTCACATCAATTGTCTGCATGCCAGCATTGATTACTCTGGCTCACCAGGGATTAACTGAGCAGGATACGGTTTGTAAGAGAAAGGGCCTCGCCGGACGGTACACGAAACGAGAAAAAAAACTAGTTCGTTTCATGAACGTTTCGCCGCACAGTCAAGAAACAAAAACTGTCAGGAGGAAGTAGCGAAGTGTGTCAGATTCGCAATTCACGAGCCTCCGCACGTGCCCCTTCCATGCCCGCCTGCAACTCGCGAAAAGTCGTAGGTCCTCCGAAGGTCTGCTCGTGGAGCTGCGAATCCACGCGAGTGCAGCAAGTCGGTCCAAGGGATGCAGCACGTCGGTCCAAGGGATGTCTGTCCAAAAAAAAATAGCCTTTGCGAAAGTCAGGCACCTCAACACTTGTCAGGCCGTTTCCGCGAGTGATTTCGCGTGTGCCGTGCGGCGGTGGTGTAACAAATGAAACGAAACCTTGATTTTCGGCCTCGCGAGGCCTCGTGAGTTTCAAGGTCGTTTCGTTTCGTTTTTTGCACCGTCCGGCGAGGCCCAAAGACTGAGAAAGACTGGGAAGAAAGGAGGGCTTTCGTTCGGAATTTCATATGAATCCAGAGGTTTCGGGTCTCGCTCCACTACTGTCCGCTATACACAATTTCGTATAGTTGCCGTATAGCTGTCAGACCGTGAAAAAATGTATAGAACCCGGCGTCGCTCCACTTACTATCTGCTATACAAAGTCTCCAGTTCCTGAGTTCACTACGCAACACCCTAACAGCACTAGAAGACAACAAGTTGTCCGTCCAGACTTGAGGTTCACCATACAAAAACGCAGCGGGTCTGTGGTTTCCTTTGAGGAGTATCCGAGTAACGACTTTTGCAGGCTGGGAACTATACACGGATGGAGAGTGCAATCTCCAACCGATATCTGACAGCTATCCAAGCTATTTAGCACGTGTATAGTGTACAGGGCACGTGTATAGTGTACAGTAAGTGGAGCCATGCCGAACTCTCCAAATTCGGAGAGTGTGTAGTAGTGGGGAGAGACCCTTAAATTCGGAGAGTGTGTAGTAGTGGAGAGAGACCCTTCATAACACATACGGCTTAGGTTACCTTCCAGTGAAGGCCAAATAAGGGCCTCGCCACACCAATGTCGAAACATCACGAAATTCGACATATGTCAGGAGATTTTCGACATTCCCTCTTTCGACAGAAAACCCCTCTTCGCCACACCGCATGTCCAAGTGAAGAACTCACGAGTGGTATGCACAAAGAGACAAACGGGGGTGAAGATAGGACAAGCGTTGGTGCGCTCTCTTTTTCGACATTAGGGCAAGAATTTGACATCCCATCGGAGGACTGGTGAAAATGTGCAAGTTGCAGGCTGGGAAACGAGCCCGTCTCGAGAGGAGGTGTCGAAACCCTTTCCCTGACAGCTCCTGAATTTTATTTTGCATCTCGGATTTCGACATGCCGTGTGGCGAGGAGAAAATGTCGAAAATTCAGTTCTCGACATTGGTGTGGAGAGGCCCTAACTCATGGAGGTTCATATAATATAATGCAACTTTTCACTGACTTGTTTTGTCTCTCTCTGTATGACAATTCAATTGTGTACGGATCGTCATTTCAAATGGTTCTCTAGACTTCTTATAAACATGAGGTGATCGTAACAGTGTATATAACGTGCGTGTTTTGGGAAAAGAGCGAGTGAAAGGATTGGGGGGGCAAGTAGAGGACCAGAGTGGGTCGAGTGAACCGGGCTGAGATCCCGGAGGCTGACGCATCTCCCCAGACTCCCCTCACCGTTTCCTTTACAGCCCAGGCCATTCGTCTCCACTCACCGACTGCGGTGTGCGTAACATTCCCCTCAGTGCCCTCACAGCTCATGCCATTCATCCCTACTCACCTCCTGCGGTGTGCATAACATTCCCGTCTACATCTTCATCCTCGTTGTTCCGTCATCCTGATGCTGGAAACACTCTCTTTACCTGACCAGGCTGGCCAGCAACGGTAGTTTTGCCGCTATCTCGGCGCTCCTCCATCTCTGCGCAGTTTATTTCTGCAACTTCGCCGAATCATAACAGGTGTACAGTTTTCGTCCACGCAACTAGCGCGCTCATCCACCCTCTCTCTCTCTCTCTCCACACACACACACACACACACACGCACACTGTGACACACACACACACACGCGCGCGCGTGCACGCGCGCGGGGGCACACGCATACACGCACGCTGGCCGGGTGTGCCGACACTCGTGTTCATGCTTTCAGTTTTCAGCGCCGTGTTTCGCGAATGAGTGGTAGCCAATACTCGTTCAGAGGGATATGAGAGCATCATCACAGTCGACAGAAGCGACGGCGCTGACGGAAAGAGTGAGACTCAGTGTGAGTGCGCCCGCAATGTGGCGTGTCGGCTCCTCGTCTCAGCTGGCCATGGCAGAGACATCACTCTCTCGTCCAACTGTTACAGGAGTGTCAGAGCGAAGGATGAGAGGATTGAGAGGAAGAAGGTGGTCTGTCTTCTGTTGCTTGCTCGCGATTGTCCTACTGGTGAGCGAAAGGCGGTTCGGTCACGCTGAACCCGGCCGGCCTTGCGAGACGCATGGAGATTGTGACGCCCCTGAGGCCTGCTCTGACGGCACATGCCAACCTCCAGCTCCAGCCCCGCCCATGTGTGTTCAAGATTGGGACTGCAGACAGATGTTTGGAGGTACCTTGCACAAGTGCTGCGATGGGAGATGCGTGAAAACGAAATGTTGTAATCACAAGGACTGCAAAAGAGGTAGAGTCTGTTGCAATGGGGCGTGCATTAAGGGCAAGTGCTGCGTCGACGAGGATTGCAACCGAAACAAATGGTGGCGTGTTTGCAGAAGGAGGCGGTGCGTTCGGTGGTGAGGCATGAAAGAAAGGATGAGTTGCAAGTATAGCCCCTACCGGTGCGATAGCCCCTACTGCCTTGCACAGGTGCTCTCTCTCTCTCTCTCGCGCGCGCGCGCCCCATCAATCAATCCCTCTTTCTTTCTTTTCTTTTCACGTTTTTATGTTCAGGGGACAAGCTGAATGATGAGGACGAGGCGAGCACGACGAGGAACAGAGGCGGGATTATCATGAGCGTAATTACAACGTGTTGATTGGTTGATACATGATAGACACATACACACACGCACACACACAGACACACATTTAACTATATATATATATATGAGTCCGTGAAACTCCGACGAAACAGTTTGTCACAGCCCCTAGGTAATTTGTTGTCCTCTTCTCCCTCCCTCTCTCTGCCTACGGTTTACCGGGCAGCTCTATGTATATACATGTATATATATATGCATATATATATATCGTCATGCATATATATATATATATGTATGCTCTTTGCTTTGGCTTTTTTTCAGTTTCTTTTTTTTCAATATGACGAACAGGGAGAACACTAAGGGTGTTTGATCAATCTCCTTCAGCCTCATCGTCATCGTGGTTATGTATTTCTCTGATCACCCCCCCCTCTCTCTCTCTCTCTCTCTCTCTCTCT